CCTACGTTCCAATAGAGAGGGAAGAGTGGCTTCTAGGTACACCTAATTATGTATAAACACCTGTTCTGCACTCTCCGCAGTTCTGTAGAAAGATAGGCAGACAAACCTCCCCGACTGATATATAGGAAGCGTACTCTAGGAGAGAGCGAATCATGGTACCTACGGTATGTTGTTAAACCAACTTCCGTGAGCAGTTTTGCCCTGTTGCATTCCCGGAGAATGCAAAAAAGTACACAGTCTGTTCTACAGTAAAAACCGGTAAAAAAGAACCACGAATTTTTATGTCAGGCTGAAGTGGTTCTTCATAATGGGTACTTAGCAAGAAATCAGGACGAGTTATTTCTTAACTGGTTCTCATTTCCAGTCAAAAACAATTCTTCTCAGTTTTCAGAATTTTAAACTATTTATTTCCTTAATTAATTAGTGAGCTGTTGACAGTATTCCTATACTATGTTAAATTTGCAATATAGTATTATATTAAGCGTATACCTGCATTCACCTGCCCTTAGAAGATGCTTTCTATCGTCCAGTTAAAGTACAAAAGTGAGGATTGTTTCTTCAATACGGGTTTTTACTGTATCAAGCAAGATTCCTCAAATCTAAAATATTTACTCATACATTACAAACATACCTGCTGCGACTACACTTTCCACTATGTCAGTGTGGCCAACCAAAGTAGCTTCAAAATTTAATGTATCACCTCGCCATAACTTGATAGTGTGATGCAAAGATGCAGTGGCAATGTACAGTCCATCTTTAGTAGTACACAGACTCGTGATCACATCATCATGTGCAGGAATGACATCCAATAATTCACCTGTGGTCACACGCCATACACTTAGATTGCCTGGTACAAATGATAAGAATTAGTCAGGTTGTCGTCTGAGATCGTTCATTAATTATGTCTAACCTCAAATGCGACTTTTGGTATGTGTGATATTTGGGTCATTCCGAGAAGAAATATAATACATCTTTGCGTGAAAAGTTTCATCTTGATAAATTTTTTCACCGTCGAAATTGCCGGATATGGTGTCACTAGATGAATTTTAGAAGCAAAAAACAAAGGCGAACTAATTTGCAATTCATCATAGCAAAAATGTCAATAAAGATGAGTTTTTCCCGACAAGCCATATTGCATTTCTTTAAAAATGACTAAAATGTTAGATATACCAAAACTTATATTTATAGGGTTAGTGGCACTTATAGAAGAGGTAGCTAGGGGTTGTGTAAGATCTGTTCCGCACAGTCACAGAGGGTAACTTGCAAATATGTGCGGTATAACTCAATCAGTCATAGAAAAACTTTATGTACAAAGCAAACAACGAATCTAAAGTGGCAGATTATAATCGTGCTTGTCTAAAGACTACCAAGGACTGCGTGCAGGTCGTGCTGAATAAAATGCGCAGAAGACTACGTATCTGACATTTTCAGGAATTAATTGTGAACGGGCTTAAAAGACTTGTTTAAAACGTTGCGAGCCCAGGTACGAAACACTTAAGCCCCGGTCAAACATACCTGGATGAGAGTTGATAAGAGTTGCAACTGTCACTTGCATTTTACAGCTAACTCTCATTAACTCGAGTTGAGAAAACTCACATGTACACTCTCGCTTGCCAACTCTTATCAACTTTCATCCTTGTTTGACCTGGGCTTTAGATGCTTACCATCACGCGACCCAGTAAACAGTCGCTGATCATCTGTACTGAAATCCAATGCAAGCACAGCACCACCTTCTACTTGTAAAACTTTTAGCTGCTCAAAAGTATCCATGTTCCAGATTCTTGCAGTATTGTCAGCTGACCCTGACGCAAGATGTCTTTGACTGTGTGACAGAGCCAAACACCACACTGCAGTTGTATGTCCTTTGAGTACTTGCAATTCTTTGCCTGTTTATATAGATAGATTATAAGTATTTTTAAAAAGAGGGTAATAGATCTTTTTCGCGTGACGTTACAAAATTCTAATATTTTATAGGTTCCGTTTTTCGTTACCATGTGTATTCACCAAAAATTTTGAGTCGATACAATTATTTCTCCTTCAGTTACAAACTTTAACAGCCGTTACAAACTGACATCAGCATTACTTTCATAAGGGCTGGTAAAACGTAACTATGTTGCACACACCATTTAGGTTTGAAATGCTTGGTTATAAAGAATCTCAGCATTTTGGCTGATTCTCTGTTCATTAGCATTTGATTCTTTGCCACCGCGTTGGTGTCGGTAAATGGAGGTCAAAAGGCAGTGCTCAATAGACCTTTATAAAAAGGTTGACGTCAGCAGGCTTGTGACGTAGTTTGCGGAGAAAATCCCGAAAGCTCAGAGTTGTTTACTTGTTTTGAGTTTTTTAAGGTGGCTCCCTACAGTTAGTACAGTTTAAATACGATTTATATAGATCAGACTTCATCCTCGCGACCTGCGCGTGGGATCGTGTTTACTGTTCGGCAAAAATATTGAAACAAGCCGTGGGAAGTTCTTTGGCGTTTTTTATCTACAAAGAAAGCCCCAGTTTTTCATTATAATCCTATTTTTTTCTGAATTCGAACAGTACGTATGTTATTAACTAGTTTAACCTATCTTTTAGTGTGTTTTTACGTATTTACGTTCAGTATTGTCTTTCATATTGCTCAAAATTTTCAACTTGTTGTTTTGCAAGCTGTCAAACTGAAATGACACTGTCTTCTATTAACTCTTGAACAGTAGTGAACTGTTGCCGAAACTTATATAAGTTCTGTCAATCAATTCAATTTACAGGTATCGTTTTTTCTGCTAAATCAAATAAAACAGTTATGAGTTGTTTTATATGAAAAGTTAAACATGTAGTTCGATGTTTTGAAAAGTTTTCACACCGATTTTAACAACAAAAACAAATGTAAACTAACACTGGATTTAATACAATGCCTATAATAGTGTTTTTTATTAGTATTTTCAAGATTAATATTTTATTTTCATGTCAAACAAGTCAGAAATATCCGTTTTCTTATGTATTGTAAGCCAAAAAGTTGAAATCACTATAAATCACACGCTACAATTTACACGCATGCGCAGATTGTGCTCATGTC